CCAGGGTCGACCCTAAAGTCAAGTAATCCTATAGGAACTCTTCTTGAATTCTCTTATAATGATCTTACCTACTAAATGCTAGAGGTTAAGATCAATACGTGGAATTTCAAGTTGAGTAAAAAGAAGAGTTTTGAATTTCTAATGGTGGGGGTACCTTTTCTAATTTTCTAAGACTAGTCAATAGGAAAGTCCTATGACCAGACCTAGACTACTAAAGAAGTTTCTAGACCTCAACCAAAAGTGAGGTCAACATAAAGGGAGATCAAAATCAAAGTATGGTCAGCAGACAATCTGCTGGAATTGTGGCAAGGCTGGCCACATAAGGAAGAACTGCAGGAATCTCAAAAATATGGAGAATCATAGCGCAAATGTGGTATCTGAAGAAGTATAAGATGCACTATTGCTGACAATTCATAGTTCTGTTAATGCTGGAAGTGAATAGGAGAGTGTGTCCGGGGCACCCATTCCAATTGTTTCACAGACAGATGGTGGAGAGCAACAGAGCTATGAAGAAATCTTGCAAGATGAAAGTTCGAGCAAATGGAAGCTGACATAACTTCCACCAGGGAAGAAGCCATTACAGAACAAGTGAGTGTACCATGTGAAGACTGAGCATGATGATGACAGTAAGAAATACAAAACTAGACTTGTTGGAAGAGGCTTTCAGCAGATGCAAGATATTGCTCATGCAGTGAGAGTTGTAAGCAGAGACAAGAGTAACCAAACAAATAGTTTGGAGGTGCAAAACTATGTTGACCCAGCTGATATGTTGATTGAGAGTGTTACTCTTGAGAAACTGAAGTTGTGCACAGCTTTAGTTGGTCTTTTAGAGTGAAGATAGAGGCTTTGAGTTGCAGAGGTGGAGGATTCATGTTTAAAGAAAATGGCAACGTCGCCAATGGAGGATATCAGTTCAAGGAAGAAGACATGTTGTAGCTTGTGTATCAGTCTCTAAGTGGAAGATTGTTAGCGTTGGAACCCGATAGGAACCGCTCCCGCTCGGTCGCTTCCCGCTTCTGCCTCCCTGTTGTCAATCGCGATTCGTTGCGACCGCTCCCTCTCTTCCAATCGCAAGAGTCGCGTCCCAGCTCACGCGAACCGTTCTTGCCTTCCCTGTTTTGTAAAAACGACGCCGCCTCCGTCTCCTTTAAGTTGCGAACATAAGAGAAGAAAGTTACGAAGTCATGTTTTGAGTTCTTCTCCGGGCTTCCTCGGGATAGAGAAAGAGTTCTTCGGGTTTCCTTGGAACAGAGAAAGAGAAGTATAAGAAGTAGTTCCTTGCGGCAGAAAGAAGAAGATTGTTCTCCCTTAGTTTCTTCTTGGTGGCTTGTGGCTGAAGAAAAATTATGTTTATTTCTCTTGTAAGTTTATCTTCTTCGGTGTATCTCGATATAGAGTTTCTTCGGTGTAACTCGGTGTAAAGAGAAGAATAGAGAGAGAAGAAGAGAGAGCAACGAAGCAAGAGATTCCTCTTGTAAGTCGAGGTGATCGACTGGTGTAAATTTCTCAAGTAGTAAAATTCTGCAACTCCATGGACAAACAATTTGCCGAACCACGTAAATCTGTGTGTTCCTCTGTGTTACCGTTTTCTGGGGTGACTTTTTCTCGTTCTATTTTTCGTTTCGTCAAAGATCGTTCTCTTGTTTGATATATATATATATATATATATAGACACACACACATACACACACACACACACAATGTGTCAGCACGAATTTCAGACATAAATTTCTATCAAAAATTTATTATTAAAAAAATCTTAAGAACTATCTCAAATGTATTGATATTCACGTCAAATAAAAATTTAGTTGATGATACATCAACTATAATAACTATAATAGTGAAGTTTTGTATATATATTACAACCAAATATCATACCAATGGCTAAAAAAATCATTAAATTATAAATATAAAGAAGCCGCATTTACAATCATATCACCCAATTTATGTCATATAAATATTTATGTTTATGATTTAGATATGTAAATACATATGTGAAATGAACTTACACAAAAAGCACCACCCTTGAAACACTTGCAGCACAAATCTTGAAGTTTGACGGTGACATAAACTTCCACATAGCACGAATCTCAAAGCTTTTGATTAGGAATTGATGGACGCAAACTCACATACAGCACGGCTCTCAAAGTTTCTGATAATATTCTTCGTAATTGCTGCAATTCAAATTTCCCCATAAAACACTAATCTCAAAGTTAATCTCTGCCTGTTTTTAACAATTGGTGCGATCTAAATTTCCACACACAGCACGAATCTCAAGGTTTTTGATACAGTATTATTATTATTGTTATTACTTTATTATATATTTCGGACCGGAGGAAATAGAAGCACATATAATCGTTCTGGAAGAAAGGATCAACCTAACTAACATAAGGCTTTACAGCCAAGAACAAGAAGCATGGCACCAATGAAGTGTGACTTGAGACCTACCAAAATCATTATAGAAATAACATGAAAAATCATCTTAAATATTGTAAATTTTAAATAATTTCGATAAAATTAAGAAATATTTACATCCATTTCACTTATTTTTTATTTTTTTTATAAATAAAACATATAAATTTTAATATGTATTTCACTTTTTAAAATTTGAAATAACTCTATTTTTTTGTGTGATTTGAAGGATTTGGTGGGGATTTGGTGGTATATATATGTAAGCAATAAAGTTTTGGTGTTAGATGTATAAATATATATGAATGCCCCTAAAATTAATGGTGATGATGCTTATTGATTCTACATATTTGTCGTTGAAAATGTCTGAAACAACATTGAATTATTTATTGAATGCATATGTTTTTCTCCTGATCCCATATGTGTTTATTTAGAGTCTGTTTGGGGCTGCTACAATTGTTTGAAGAAACAGTTGTGAAACTGCTGAAGAAGAATCTGTTTTTCAAAAAGTTGTGATGATTATTACAAAGAAAAAAATTTTTTGTTTTTTTTAAAGAATCGGACCGCCGCTTTCTAGCAGTCATCGTAGGCAGACAGATCCAGTGGCAAAGCGCAGTTTTCAACTGCACATTTTTAAAAACTCAGGCAAAATGCAATTTTGACAAACAAGAAAATTTGCAGTACAACATTACTACCGCACCGCCACCCCAAACTGACCCTTAGTTTCTTACTATAATTTGTTTATTGCATTTGAAATCAAAAAATCATCACTAAAATAAAGATTAAATATATTCTCAGTTACTCTATGCATCACACAAATATTATTATACATCTTTAGGTGTCAGAGCGTAGATTACGTAATGCCAACTCATGAAAAAATTATTACCAACAGAATTTGGATGCATCTACATCATGTATAATAATGTTATCCAATGTTATATAATTGTACACAACTATGTTGTGCATGGAGTTCAGATACATCCGAACTCCATAAGTAATATTCTCTCCAGCTCATGAGCACACGAGCCCTCACACAAACTTTTGTGACCACTATTCTAGATCACCTACTTGCAAGTCTACTTCTCGCACTAGCCTAAAGCACTGCTCGCCTAGCCCTAATGCAACTCTAGCACCAGGATAGATCAATATCCTATAGATCTACTTTACTATTTTTTATTATATTATAAGAGTCGAAAGGATCAAACTAACTCATCAATTATAGCCAAGAAAAGGAATCATGCAACCAATAGAGAGTGATTTGCGGCCAATCAAAATCATTATAGAAATATTGCAGTCATATGAAATATTGAACTCACCAATTCAGAATATTTTTTATAATATTAATGATGTTGATGATGATCAAATCCACAACTTCTTTTATGAAAGTGGTTGAAATATTAAAAAATAAAAATAGAACGCATGATTCATTAGAGAAAATTAATATATCAGCCAGGATCCTCTAGAGCTTTTTAACGAGCCAAACACAAGCTGTTCACGAACAACAACGAGCCATTTTGACAGCCCCGTCACTCATTAGTCTCACCCTCACATTAGCCCAACAAAAGCCCACTAACTAGTTGTGAAACTAGGATGAACCAAAAGTAGGCAACCGCCAACCCTAAAATTTTAGATTTCTCTCTAAATGATAACATACTTTACAAATGTAAAAATCAAACTTTAAAGAATTAGATACTGCAAATTCATGGCACCCATGTTAATTTCCCCAAGCAAAAAATATATATATATATATATCAGCTAACAGCTTGCCATTTCCTCAATGATGTGAAGCCATACCAGACTACACACATTAGCAACCCCAACAAGCAATCCATCTACTGCAAGTTATTACCCATTTGGTGTTGGGAGCCACTCCATCACCCACCACCTTCCTCCCCCCTCCCACTCCATTAAAAGCCTCCCAATCCTCCCATCCCAAACATTCAGAAGGAAGCCACACAATAATCCATGGCCAGCTCCCCCATCTTCACTATCCCCTTCTTCCTCCTCCTCCTCCTCATCCCAACCACCAAAACCCTAGCACAGACCTCCTCCGCTCCTGCGCCGGCAGGCCCATTGAACATCACCGCTGTTCTAGAGAAAGCCGGGCAGTACAACACGCTGATTCGATTAATGAAAAGCACACAAATAGCTGATCAAATCAACAACCAGCTGAACAACTCCAACAGCGGAATCACCATTTTTGCGCCGACAGACAACGCATTCACGAACCTCCCCGCCGGGACGCTGAACTCCCTCACGGATCAACAGAAAGTCTCCCTGATCCAGTTCCATGTCGTTCCTTCTCTCATCACCATGTCACAGTTTCAGACCGTCAGCAATCCTCTCAGAACTCAAGCTGGAAACACCGACAATGGTGAGTTTCCGCTCAATGTCACGAGTTCAGGGAATCAGGTCAATATTTCTACAGGTGTGGTGAACACTACGGTTTCTAATGCGCTGTATACGGATAGCAAGCTTGCGGTTTACCAGGTTGATAAGGTTTTGCTACCGCTGGCTATATTTGGATCTGAGGCTCCGGCGGAAGCTCCAGGGCCGGAACCGTCCACGCCGAGGAAGAAGAAGAAGAAGGAGGCGGCTGCGGATGAACCAACGGCTAGTCCGGCGAAGGAAGATGCCGGCGCTTCTTCTGGTTTTAGGTTGAGTTGGGGCTGGAGGGGGAAATGGGCTGGTTTTGTTGTTGTGGGGAGTTTGTTCTGCCTGCATCTCTGATTAGTGTGGGAAGAAATAGAGAAAAAAAGATGTTTTGATGTGTTTATGAGATTCGTTGTGAGGTGAAGGATTGTGAGTTTTTTTTTTTTTTTTTTTGTTTTTTTATTCCTATTAGTTTTTTTAATCCTATTGATTATTTCCATCACCAGATTTTGTATGGTTGCTTCATTTATATGTCATGTTTTGTAGTCTTTTTTTAGTTTAATTTTGATAGTTGTTTGCCAGTGAGAAGTTTTATGAAAACATATACAGGGAAAGGTGAAATTTAATAGATGCTCTGAGTTTTTATATTTAGGTTCATATATATGGCACACCTTACATTGCTCCATCCATTTTTAAAATTCTCACTCAAATATCCAAATTCATAATAAAATCCCCACAAAAAATTTTTCATTTTTATCAAACTCTCAACCGTTCTGTAGTAATTTCTCTCATTCTGGTCTTAGAAGGCCTAAACAAGAATAACCTTAGAAGATTAATGAAGCTAAGAAAGTCTCTCCTGGAAGCTTGCCTTAGCTCCGTCCCTATTAATCTTTTGTACTCGTCTTAATCCTTAATTTACCCCAGCTAGTCCAAAGTTAATTGATCTAATCATGAGTTAAGAATATCATTAGACTTAGTTTAAGGCATTAACTAATTATTGGGAAGGATTGGTCTACTTTCTTCAGCCATTTCATAGAGTTTAATGCATTTAGACTCATAAAAGTTCAATTGGGTCGTGTTGAAAAATGTGGAAAAAATATTGCAAGTCAATTTCATAATTTCTCTAACAAAAAAAAAAGACATAAGAAAATATGCAGGCACAAGCAATGTGAGCTCTCAGAAAAGGCCAAAGATCTCCACAAATTGAACTATCGACGAAGTCAGATCAGCTGGATTAACTCGTCAGATAAAATGCCTTCATGCTTGTTCAAGCCCTCACTTCATCCTTTAAACAAGGCAAAACAGATCGAAAACTAAAGTTCCGATCCTTAATCCCTTGAGAAAAAGAAAAAGATCACGGGGCAAAACCAAGAACGTGAGCAACTCAGACGAAATCACAGCATTTCCAACTCCCCCTGCTTCAATTCGGTGTGGTTAAAGCAAAATAGTCATCATCGAGCCCATAGTAAAAGTGACGGGAAAAAAAAATACGTTAAGTGAGAATTGTAGAACCTACGAGAAAATGCGAGAATCCATGGAAACTGATTCTCAGATCTGGAGACCGCACGTCCAGAGGCTCCGTACATTGATATCGCCCCTCTTCGACATCTCCACTGTTCAATTAAAAGAAAAAATACGAACAGCAGAACCGAAGAATTTACAGAGGGCAAAAATGGATGGAAAATTGAACTCAAAGTATGAATTAGAACAAAAACGAAACAGAGGAACACAGATTTTAGAAAATCTAATTTGAATAATCTATATACGGATAAATAAACAAAATCGAAAATGACCGAAGGGTTTCGACGGCCGCCACTAAAAACCCTAGTATCTGTGACAGAGAGAGAGAGGGAGAGAGACAGAGAGCTGAGTGAGAGATTCTGGGAAATGGTCGCGGCTGTAGATATAAAAAGGGCTTGCCTTAGGTTTTTAAGGAATTAATTGATCTGGACCGTCGGATTATAATCAACGGTATAAATAAGAACTAAACAGAAATCTATTTATCAAATAAAAAATAGTACCTCTTCCATTCTCAGATAAATTTACAGCATACGCATTATTTGTTTGTCAGAATCTTATTCTTACATTTCTACCACTACTAATCATTACATGCAAAACATCTAAAATTTAATTATTTTGCTTGTTTTCAAAAAATATATTAATTATTAAAAAAACAAAAACATATATAAAATATACTAGATAAATATATTTTTAAAAATAAATAATAAAATTAATCTCAAATAAACCCTGAGAGATGTGGATTGTGAATAGATGCATGTCAGGGCCCTTTTATGGAGAAAATATTACGTCCGAATAACAGAATATGTTATTCTGCTTGCATTGGAACTTCGAATGCAATATTTCTTTCCTTTCATGAGCATAGCTTACAGAGGACCGGTTCCACAGCGCGACCTCTGACCATCTCTCGAATTGTTTGATCCCCAACGGATGGCCTCTGCAACAACGCGGCGGCGGTCTATGGTTGTCTCTTCGTCAAGTATTCCATGGATGTTAGGAGTGTCATCTTCTCGCGGTTTCGCGAGAGGCTGACGATGGCCGGAGCTCTCTTCAACCACATTGCTCGGCAATTCTTGAAGGTAGCTGAGAGCAACCACGACGTCTGCCATGACTGGCCGGACCGAAGCCTCCTCCTGGAGGCACATAGCGGCGACTGCCACCGCCTGGTTTAGACCCCTTAAAGGGACGGTCCCTTTTAGACGGGGATCAACCAGCTCCAAATATCTCTTTTGATCCTTCAATATTGGTTGTGCCTGTTGTTGCAAAGCAACAGTTAGTGAAATTTATGTATTTTTTTCATGTGATGACTATAAATGCACAAACTTTAGATGTTAGATAACATGTTGAGGGAATGCTTGAAAAAGAGATTTGTGAACCAAACATAGCATACCAAAGCAACTAGATTTTGCTCCTTAGTTGGTCTCATTGTGTCTACGACTCTTTTGCCCGTGATAAGCTCTAGAAGCACAACTCCGAAGCTATACACATCTGACTTAACAGTGAGTTGGCCCGTCCGAGCATACTCCGGCGCGCAATAGCCATAGGTGCCCATCACTCTCGATGATACATTCGCCTTCTCATCGAGAGAGCCGAGCTTAGCAAGGCCAAAATCAGAAAGCTTTGGAATATGGTCTTCATTGAGCAAGATGTTTGATGATTTGAGATCGCGGTATATTACCGGAGGATTGGCTTTTTCGTGCAGATATTCGAGGCCTTTCGCGGCGCCGAATGCTATCTTCATTCTCGTCGACCAGCTGAGAGGTGTTTGATTAGGTGATATGTCTGCAATAAAATTCCAACTCGTAAATCTTAAAGTTGTGGTCTTTTTGTTGTGATATGAAACATTCAGTTGTTATGAATGTCTACCAAACATGCCCTTAGATGTTAGATATGTAAATATGTAAGAATTGAGGGGTATGTATGCAAATGTCCCGAGAATGTTTACCAAGCAAATGGTCTTCTAAAGAGCCAAGAGCCATGTACTCGTAAACCAGAAGCCTTTGGTCTCCATCAGCACAGTATCCGATGAGATTGACGAGGTGATTGTGATGGAGGAGGCTAAGCATGAGTACCTCTACAAGGAACTCCCTGTTACCTTGGAGTCCATTTCTATCCAGCTGCTTAACAGCCACAACCTGTGAGAACAAACAGAATAATATTTTGTGAATTCTAAGACAATTGCATTTACATACATACCCAACCCAATTCTTATGTATTTACATATCTAACATTTAATTTTTACGTTTATAAAAACCAAATATTTCATATCACATTAAAAAAATATCACCATTTTAAACTTTTCATGCATAGGGAAGATGGCATTGAAGTATAGGTGTTGGATTTAAAAGTACATAAGAATTGAGTGGTATGTAAGTAAATTTTGCATATATGTTTGGAAAATTTACATATGTATCACACAATTCTTATGGATTTACATGTCTAACGCCTAAAGTTTAATTTTTTACATTCATAACACCTTGATGTTAAGAACATATGCATTAAAAGATGTTTTTTGTTTTGAAAAGTTGGTGAAGTGAGGTAAAGGTTAAGAGTATTATGAACGTAAATATTACAGTTTAATGTTCCATATGTAAATACATAAGAATTGTGTGATGAGTATGTAAATGCCCCCATTTTCTTTTTTTGATTCATTGGCATCCTTAAATAACTAATTCTTAATAATGGTCTAGTAATCAGTTACTATAGCACTATTGTTAAGATGAGGGATTTGTATCCATACCATAAGAATCTTATGTATTTACATATCTAACAACTAAAGTTTGATCTTTACATCTACAAGACTTGGGTAAGCTTGAAAAGGTGCATTTCAGCCTTAGAAAATAAGTTACAGTGGTATTTTATGTGAGCTTAAGAATATGAGTTTAATGCATGTAAATATGAAAGTTTAGGCGTCAAATATATAACAACAACAACAACAAAACCTTTATCCCACTAAGTGGGGTCGGCTACATGAATCATTTTTCTCCACTGCGTCCTATTTAGTGTCATATTTACATTTAACTCCAATAAATTAAGATCATTTTTTTTTACAATATGCCCAAGTCATCCTAAGTCTACCTCTACCTTTCTTAACATAAGTCAAATCTAAAACATCTACTCTTCTAATCGGATCATCAAATGATCGCTATTTAATATGACCAAACCATGTAAGACGACTCTCTCTAATTTTGTCTGTCACTGGAGCTAAAACACTATCACAGATATATTCATTTCGCATTTTTTCTCTAAGTGTAAAGCCACTCATCCACCTAATCATTATCATCTCGACAACACTTAATTTAGTGTTATACTTCTCTTTTAAAGACCAACATTCAGCGCCATATAGCATTGCAGGTGTCAAATATGCACATAAAAAAAGAATTGTGTGCGGTCTCTATGTAAATGTCCCTATAAAGAAAATAAATTGGGCAATGCCGATGTACCTGGCCGGTGTTTTCGAGTCGGCCCTTATAAACTCTTCCAAATCCTCCTTCGCCGAGAAGACATTCTGGGCGAAAATTCTTGGTAGCCGCTGCGAGTTCCCGGAAGGTGAATGTTTGTGCTGCAATGTTACCATTTCCGACAACTTTTTTTTCTGCCGCCGCCGCCGCCCTCTGCTTGACAACTCCTGTACTAAGAAGGTTTAAATTTACTGTGCTGAAGCCTTAGGTAGGATTAGATCAAATATCAAAATTCATGGCAAAACCGCCAACCCATATTTTTCATTTTTATCAAATTCTCTATTAGTTTGATTGTGGAACACGTAAAAACAACGGTTCTGGTAGTTCAAAAAATTCACCTTGACGGTTAATTTGTAAATATCAATATTTCAGGTGGTCCGTATGTAATTATCCCTAATCCTATCAAGTAATGTGTCCTCCATCTCAACCAGGGAGGGCTGGGAATGATTCCATCAAAGAATGGAAACACATTTAGACTATACATTAAAGAAAATAGGGAGCAACCTACAAAACTTTATCTTTTTTATTTGTAATTTTAAAGTAAACTTACATAAACACCACTTAATTCCTATGTTTTTACATATCTAACACCTAAACTTTACTTTCTGCATTTATAGCACCCAAATATTTACATACATACCACTTATATAAAACTTTATCCTCTAGATCACCTAAAAATAGTGCTAACATTAATTTATCTAAAGAGAGATATAACTTTTCATGCATGTATTAGATTTACAGCTAATGGTTATGTAAGACTTTTGGGGTATGTATGTAGATTCCCCTACTTTTAACTCACTCTCATGTCCATCCCAACATGAATCATGTAATTTTTCTATATAATTTATAGTGGTAACCAAACATTGAACTTGAATTCAATTTTCTTCAGAATTTCAATATGCATCCAATCAAATGCTCCCTGAGGTGTGTTGTCTGGCAACATATGATATGATTTACTAAATCCTGAATGGGTTTAATCCGAAAAAACTGTCTGGCAATGGATTTAGTAGATCTTGTAAATCAAATGAAACTGTTTGGTAGTTATCGAGCTGCGCCTTAAATCTGGAGTGTGCGAAGTTAAATCCACAGATTCATATGATTTGCTAAATCCGGAATTTATTGTGGAATCACAAGATTTATTTTGTACAAAATGATCGTCTCGTAAGATTCCGCTTGAACCCTGCCTAAATCCCAACTTAAATGCATTGCCAGACAGCCCCTAAGTTAAGAGAAAATATTACGTCCGGACACCGCACGCCCGGAAGACTAACCACCGGCCGCCAGGTAGCCATACACCTCATCGGCGGGCGACGTGACGGTCGGCGGCTGGCCGTCCGGACGTGCGGACGTCTGGACTCAATATCTTTTCCTAATTTGAAGATAGAACAGATCTTATGCATATTAAATATAACATTCTGTCATCCCTGTTAGATACTAATCTTCACATAGTTTTCTTAATCAGAAATCAAGAAGGAAATTAGCATGCATTGGCCCCTAGGGTTCAAATTAGGGAAAAGTAAAGAAAATTAGCTCACCTTTCTTGGTACCAGATTCACCCTGCTGCTTGGAAACCGGAACAGATCGCGCCGGCCTCGGCGGCCGCGCCGCCATCCTCCTTGCATCATACTTCCTTGCTTTCTTCCTTCCTTCGAATGAAAAACAAGATAAGAAACTCATTTCTTGATAGCAAGCTTTTCCCCAAAATCACTCTAGTAATTAAACTAATCCCTAAATCCTCCAAAACAACAAGCTCGCTCAATCGAACTATCCCTTCCACGTTGGATTGAAAATCGGGTTTCAGTCGCAAAAAACTACAAAAATATCTGAAAGAATACCAGGAAGAAGAAGGGAGAGTAACAGTAAGGTATGGGAATGTTGGGAAGTTAGAAAGTAGGAGGAAGGAGAGGGTTTCGTTGGGCGATGAAGGGAATGAGGAGAGAGCCATTAGGGTTGGTATTTCTCCGAAGAAGCGAGGAAAGATTTGAGGAGATGGATTGAGCGGAGGAGCAGAATTCTCGGGGAATTTTGTGAAGCTCAGGGGAGAAATTTTGGTTTAGGTTTAAGAAACGAGCCGCCGTTGGGTTGTTCTGTTACTTCTGTTAGGGAGGAGACGGAGATGGAGGGTTGGCGGTAATTATTAGAGAAAATTCCTGAGATATTATTAGCACTCCAATTAGAACCTGTCACAGAGGGCTGTCAAAATGGCTCGTTGTTCATGTTCGGTTTGTTAAAAAGCTCGTGTTTGGCTCGTTCGCTAGTTAACTAGTTGAACACGAACAACACGAACAAATATTTGTTCGTTTGTGTTCGGCTCATTTTGACTCAAAATACTATTAATCAATTATTTTTATATCTTTGATGAGTAGTATTTTTAAAAAAAAAATCAATTGACTACAAGGCTACAAAGGTTTATAATCAATTAATGTTTTAAATCTTGTTTCAATGATTAACATTTTATTGCTATGTGATTAGGATTGTCAAAACGACCCTTTGTTCATGAACAGCTCGTGTTCAGCTCGCTAAGCAAACGATTTGAACACGAACACACTGGTTGAGCTCGAAATATAAACTAGCTAAACACGAGCTAAACACGAGCTGAGTTTGGGCTCGCTCGTGTACGGCTCGTTACACCCCTACTGTCATGTCTACACACAAGTCCATCCACGTATTAAATTTATTCTTTTATTAAAGTGGGTCTGCATGTACACGTGACACGCTCTGATTAAAGTTCAGATACAAAACTGCATCAGGGCTCCGTTGCAATATTTTTCTCATGCATAACTCATAATTTTTTTTTATTTATATTTCTCGCCTTTACACATTTATATTTATGCATATACCATTTATCCATTTAAAATCACATAAATAATAACACTACTACCTCTTTCTAAAAGGTGAAATGCATCTTTTCAGTGCGTAGATTTAAAGTACCAAAATGATACGAGCGTAAATATGAAAGTTTGGGGGTAAGATATGTAAATATATAAAAATTATGCGTTATGTATGTAAATTATTTGATTTGTAGGTGCCTTGTTTATATGTCATAATTTTTCATATAAACTAATAAATAAATTAAAAATTGAAATAAATATTTCAACTTTTATAAAATTTATAAAATTATTAACAAACCCTTGACATCTAACTAATTTTTAAAAAATAAAATTATATATGAAATTATAAATAAACTTTCTTACAATTAAACAATATAAATAAAAAGAAAAGAAAAATTATGTTAAATGCATATGCATATTGATATTAAATTATAATATATCATTATGAAATATATAATTAAATATTTTTAAAAAATATATGATCTAGCACATTATAATAAGCTACTTTGTGAACAATAAATGAACATATTCATGAGCATTAATAAACTAGTTAAACTATATTCAAATTCGACTCATTTAGCCTCCGAGTTTTAAAAATCGTTCAAAATTTTTTATTTACTAATTTTAACGGGCATAGCCTATATAAAACTCGATCATTCACGAAGATGTGATATATAAAAATGTGAGACTCATTCATTAAGCTTATTCGATTAAAATCTCACTTATTAAGTTTAAATGACTCGAGAGTAGGTCGAACCAAGCTCGAACGATCCTTTGATAAACAAGCTTGGACTCATACACCATCACGGAAGCTCAAATCAAACTCTAGTCGGCTCAATCTCAAACAAACTCTCGAGTCAGCTCTTAATTTGGAGAAATCATTACATCTAGTAAATCCGACATGTGATAGACAATATGAATCGCACCACACCGTCGAATGCACGGCATGGCACAATCCACACCGTCGTCCACACGTCCGATCGTGTGGACGACATTCGTAGTATTTCGTGTAGGCGATGGAAGTAGTATTTTCTTCGTGGTCTGTATCTCCATCTTCAAAACTGCACCCTTTGATTTACCTGAATCTAATATGATAAACAATGAGGGAAAGTAAATGCGTATTTGTTTTATGTGCACATTTCATATATATATATATATATCATAAAAAATTATTGTGCATACACAAAGTACGCAATTCTTATATATTTACATATCTCACACCTAATTTTCATATTTTCACAAATACCACTCAAATCTTTAATATCACAATAAAAATAAAACCAGTAAATAATGCTAGAAGTCAGAATATATATTTCCATGCATGGGTCCAGCTCACAATTTCTCGAGCTCGAGCTCACAATTTAACAAATGAGTCGAGTTCGAACCTTACATAGCTTGAGCCCGGATCGACTCGTTTACACCCCTGGCCTCAGCTTGATAAATGGCTCATGGATCAATCTCAATAAGCTAACAAATCCACATACATATGAGTTTGATCGTTCATACTCAATGGTTGTGAGATACATACCACCCAATTCCCATGTTTTTTACATATCTAACACCTAAAATTTACTTTTTACATTTATACCTCCCAAAATCTTTCATGCATAAGTAAGATGGCATGTATGTAAAAAATTGAAGTTTAAGGGTCAGAAATGCAAGATAACATAGGAATTGAGTGATGTTGCGTGTAAATCTTCTTTTATTATAGCCAAAAACTAATAATTCCATAGCCATCCATAAACAACTCAAGTTCTCAAACTACATAAAAGCATTCAGTTCCTATTTACAAATTAATCACCCTCTTTCATCCATTTTACAGATTCTCACTCAAATATTAAAATTCATGATAAAATCACAACCCATACTTATCATTTTTTATAAAATTCTCAATAAGTTAATCGTGGCACGCGTAAATACTTCGGTTTGATAGTTCTAAAATTCACCTGGGTGATTAATTCGTAGATATCAATGTCTCGGGTGATCAGTATAAAATCAAAATATCAGGCCAAAACAAGAAACTTACGCATTATTTCGAGCTCGAAGTTTTTTGAGTCAAAGGTTTTTGAAAGCAGACTCATGAGCCCGTTCCCGTGGCGTCAGCCGTGCCAACAACGCCTTATTATGACAATGCTCGCCGTCGACGAAGTAGAAGTTTCCGTCGGCTCTAAAGCTGACGAAAGGCCGATTAGTCTCCGGTGGCCGGACACTGGAGAACTTGATTGTCCGGGGAACATAAGTCGCCAACCAAGTCATCATTTCAACCTCAAAGGAATCAGAACCGGGCCGCCATCGGAGTTTATGAACATAAGGGCTGACAAACCAGTGGAGGGCGGCGGTGGTGGAGGCGCTGAGAACGATGACCGTGCTGGCCACGGCGCCTTTCACGATGACGTTCATGTCCGGCGAGGTCATGAAGGTGATGACAGGGCCTAAGGACGCAGAGAGGCAGCAGGTGGAGAGCGAAAGAAGCTTCACTTTCTTTATGGTCGACGAGATAGGGCCGTAGTAGACAACATCGGTTTCTTCTTTGTTTGAGGTTTTGGGTCCTATGGTGATCTTGTTGTCGTCTTCTCTGGTTCTTGTAGGCGAAGGTTGTGAGGCAAAGTTTCTCTGATAGGGGATGGATGGAGGGAAGATGTTGAGTCTGGTCGAAGGAGAAGAAGTGGGAAATTGGGTCCTTGTTTCATACTTTGAAGTGTGGAAATCTGGTTCATTAATGGGGGAATGAATCAAGTTTGTATATGAATCAGTATTTACAGTATATATTTAGAACAGAAAAATAAATAAATAAATAAATAGTTTGTGTTCAAGCAAATTAGACTATATTCAAACCCAAAATAAATAATTTCAACCAACTCGAGCTGGACTCAAACTCAACATGGCTTATTGCGTCCGGACAACGAGCGCGATACACTTTACAAGGGATTTTTTTTTCTCCCCAACAAAGATGAATCATGTATGTTGTCCAGATGCAAAACTACGTCCGGACTCCAGCAATAATTTTGCTGTCTTTGGAGCCAGCATGACTCAAAAGGAGCAAATTTTAATTCAGCTCCACATGTAAATTCACGTTAAACAATTAAAAAATTGCACAGCTACAGTATATTAAGGAACAGACTTGCTACATGTTCTTTCTTCTTTTCAATGGTAAATGTTTGTGGCAAAATATGAAATAAATGCAATGACTTTGTGGTGCTTCAATTAAGCTACAATATGGCACTCCGCAGAAAACAAATTGGGGCATTTACATACATACCACTTGGATCCTATGCATTTAAATATCTAACACCTAAATTTTACATTTTACATTTATGCCAAAAATCTTTTACATCACATAAAAAATATCGCTATTGTGACTTTTAAAAAGTGAAATGCGCCTTTTCATGCATAGATAAGGTGGCGTAAATGTAAAAATTGAAATTTAGGTGTTAGATATGTGAAAACATAGGAATCAAGCGGTATGTCTGTAAATATTCAAAACAAATAATACAAACCTAGGATAACTAAGGGGTTTAGGTGGAAGAAGGCTGAAGAAAATAAGATGATTTACAATAACATAATTTTGCAGTACCCACGGACATTATTAGCTCATCTCATAAACCAAATGACTCTATGCAAACCACCTTAGCACAGTGGTTAAGAGCTTTGTCTTCCAACCAAGAGATCCTGGGTTTAAGGTCTTGCATATGTGGTGTGCGTGTTTGGGGTGTGTGCGTTTGGGGAGAAAAAAGAAAAGGCTATTGAAAAATTAAATATTTCAATCACATGAAAAAAAATTAACAATCATACTAATCTCATCAATTACAGGGATATAAATATTAAAGGGCATGTATACACAAAGCACGTCATTCTTATGTATTTACATATCACACTCCTAAATTTCATATTTTCACAAATAGTACTCAAATCTTTAATATCACAATAAAAATAAAAGTAGTAACGCATGTTAGAAGTCAAATATATATTTCCATGCCTAAGTTTAAATTACTTCTATGTTATATGTGATTATAAATATAGGCGTGAAATATGTAAATACATAAGAATTATTTATAGAGATAAAAAAAAAGAATTAGCAATGAACATCAATATAACCATCAAGGGATTTTTACCAAAATAAGAATGTAAATCATTTAGTCCTAGACGGTCGGTATTTTGTATGTAAATCTAAAAACCCCAATTTCAATTTTTTTTTTAAACGGTGCGACTATTTCAACCTTTTTTTCAATATTTTAGGACAAATTTGACCTGTTTTAAAAGTCAAAGACTAAAATGACCCTCTTTAAATAGTTGGGGATCATTTAAGCACTTTTCTTTTTCAACAAGAATACAACTCTGCATCTTCTCCAAATGGAGAAACATTACAAACGGTGAACATATGTACGGCTGAAGGTGCAGATACAAGGAGGTCCCTGTGTATGAATTCTTTATTTATTTATTTATTTTTCTTTTAAGCTCATATGGAATACTGTCGTACATATCTTTCCACCATAAGTAATATTTTCTCCTCTAAATGATTGATTGTTGAGCTAAGATTCCAAGCGAACACGATACAAGAATCACTTGAACTAGTTTGATCGAGTTTGGCCTATTTAGCCATCTTAAGTCAAGCACGTGTTGATCATATCTCTCCATGTCCCTTATTTAAGATTATCAATACCTTTTTAAATGAAGGGCACATGAATTATTGAAAACATTGCACATTCCTATAAAACATGATGAAATTTATAACTATCATTAGTTCAAAACTTAAACGGGAAGACACAAAATGCCATAATGCTTTTCGGAAATTATCATACGTGGCACAAATTTCTTATGTATTTACATACCTCGACCCTAAACTTTAATATTAAAATGCATAGCACTTTGGTGCTTTAAACCTATGCATGAAAAATTATATTTCACTTTTAAAAAGTGGTAATCGTGCTATTTTTCATGCAGTATTAAAGATATGTAAATACAAAAGTTTAGTTGTGAGATATGTAAATACATAAGAATTTTGTGCTATGTATGTAAGGGGTTGTCTGGCAACGAATTTAGCCCGGGATTTAAATGGGATGTAGGCTAAATCTTGCCAGTTAGTCATTTTGGACAAAATAAAGCCGATTGCACAGATTTCAGCCGCGGGATTTAGTAAATCCCAATCCCATGAATCGGCATATTTACTAAATCCTAATAACATAAATGTAATCCGTTGCCAGAGAGCCCCTAAACGTCCCCATCTCCTATAAACATCACTCACAATGCCCAAATCACCCTCCTCTTATTCTACAAACAAAGACCCCAAGATGAATTTTTGACCATTACAAACTTAGAAATTAATTCCACAATCTTCATGGTTCGCGTTAAAAACAAGGTCAGCGGATCACTGAGAAGATCACCCTCCTGGTATAGCCCAATTAATCATTTTTTTTTTTAATTTTAATTAACTTAGTTATATATTACATGTTTCTCTCAGAGGCGAACTCCCTCAGGCCAGACTAATGCCGCATCTCACCTTACTCTGGGCATGATTCAAAATACAGCGACTTAACCAAAATCCCCATCATGTCAAATGCATTCTACAAGCAACACTAATTAACAAATAAGAAAAACTCCCCATCCGATCAGCAGAAACCCTACAGCTTCAGGCTCCCTCAAAACCAGCAATCAGCGTCTCACAGAAACAAAAACAAAGAATAGATTGGAAATAGAAAAGCAACTTTAGGGATTCGGTATTCAATTCAAAGTCGACAGGAAGAAGAAGAGGGAAAGGGGGACCAACCGGAGAGAATGGTTCTAGCAGCCGCTGCCTGCAACTGATTCGTAATTTGCCGCCGGGAAAGAAGGAGGCGATTTAGGTTAACTGAAGGTCGGCCCGCAGCCATTTTCCTTCTCCACCCTCTTTCGCCTTTCGGAGCTTCGATTCGATTTTATATATGGAAATCGGATCCGACCCGATTCAAGTTTTGTAGGAATCCAAAGTTCCTTGTTATTGTGATATACATGTAACTCAAGTTTGACTCGTGTTCGACTTATTAAAAATTATTATAATTTACGTAGGCTTGTTTATATATAAATTGAGCTTAAAAAATGTGTTCTTATTTTGCACGTTTGCTTGGTAAGCAAAACACGAGTTCTTCACAAAAAAAATGAGTCATTTTCATAACTTTAGTCACATAGTCGTATGATATTAGGGGTATGAGGGACATTTAAATCTTATAATGTATATTAAATTTTTTATTCAAATAGAATTTAAATATATTTTTATTTTATTTTTAATTAATAATTTTAATTCGTTATAAAAATCTTTATAGCCTTGTTGCCAATTAAATTACCACAGGCACACACACACACATATATACATGCATATATATATATATATATATATGTGTCAAACATGAGCAATCATATTATTTACCCTATTTGAAGTGCATAAAAAACATTAACTAATTCAGATTTTGGTCCATAATTCTGTGGTTAGCCTGGGAGGATATCGGCTGACACTCTAGAACCCCCACTACTCCCTCACCTGAGGGCTAACAATCTCCTATTAATTTCCAATTCTGCATCCAACAAAGTATATTTCTTTATTTTTTTACACTCAACTCCATGGATGACATCGTCTCTCATGGAATTAACTGTGATTCTACTATGTTGTAGAAATCATAGCCCTTTCGGAACATATGTTTCTCAACACATTTTAATATTTCAATTGGTCATATTGAAAAGTAAATGAAAATTGGAGTTCAAATCATCACAAATTTTTGACATTTAAAATTGTCTAAAATATGAACCCACAATTTTTTTTTCATGTTCGGCTCGTTTATATATAGAGTGCAAAAAAATTTTTCGTGTTCGACCCATTTACTTAACAAACGAATCAAATACGAGCTACTTAATAAGCCGAACATAAGCCGTGCATAGCAACATTGATTTTTTTTCTTATCTAATGCCTTACTTTATTATTTACACACATAGCAACATTTTACTTTTCTATTCGCCCCCTCATGTGCCGCCCTTACTCTCCTGCTCTCAGGGCAGAAATAGATCATGACGAGGATGGGCAATCACTCGTCCTAAAATTAAACATTAAGTGATTCTGCCCTAACATCTCATACAGTCTTCCATTGATATCTTGATTCAATCAAAAATCAACTTTGTTCAAATTTGGTCAATCCTATCCTAACATCTGATATAGTCTTCTATGGATGCAAACTTACATTAGCTTCATTAATGTTAAAAATATAATTAACTATTTATTGCAAATTAGGCCAAATAATTCAAGTTATATGTTTATTATTATTTTTTTTAATGTAATGGAAAAGATTTTTAGAGAAAGAGGGGGTGCAAAAATTACTTTTTAATTGATAATTAGTTGTTTATTTCAGTCTAACTTAAAAAAGAAATTAAATTTCAAGAAGGGTTGTTCACCGCTACCTTTTAAGTTTATTCCTCAAAATCGCACTGTAGTTCTGCGTATTTGAGTAAGCTGTGTTTTGAGAGTTTTTCCAAAAAGCAGCCACTAATAGGGCTGCTAACGAGCACGTGTTCGAAATTGGCTCGTGAACAGTGTATTCGTGTTCGGCTCGAAATTGACTCATTAAAATTAAATTGAAAAAGATAGATGTAAAATGTTGGATTCAAATTTGGACCAAATGTATGAAAAAAAAACACTAACCATGTTAACACATGAGGTGTTATGATTTAATTTTAGATATCATAATATATAATATATAATTATATAAATAATATATGTAATAACTGAACAGGAGCAAACAAAGAGTTGTTCCTGTTCAGCTCTGATGCGTGCTAGAAAATTCGCGGCGGTAGGAGGGAGGAGTATCTGCGTAG